ACATTTATGAAGTAATTTTTTTTTCTTCTTAATCTAATATACTCTTGATTGGTTTTTATAGGGACTTTCATCACCACAGAAAAAGATATGTGTCTGTCTTTAAATCTGGTAAACTGATCTGCGGATGCAGGAGGGGAACAGATATAACAAACAGAATGGATGAGGTGTGGGAGGAGGAGGGGAAAACAGGTCTTTGCTAAAATAAACGTCTCCTTGTAACCTGGAGTGAAACCCATAATGACCGAATGTTACTATCACAGCGTCTAAGCAATTGTATGGGAAGAGACAGGGGTAACCTCCTAACAAGCACAGCTCATGTGACACAGGCCTATGTATTGGCCTGAAATGCTTTAATTTAACTCATAGCTGTAGCGAGACAGTGTTTTTCACATGACAAAACTTCTGTTTTCAGTTGCTTTAAAAAAAAAAAATAGTGATCTGTTTTATTTATCCATTACAGTCACCTTAAAGTAATACCAAGTTTGTAAAGTAAAACACTTAGAAGTGAGGAAATATCATAATTAAGGTGGCTTATTTATCCTTAGTTTACTACTTTTGCATATGCGTTATGACACCGTTGCGAATTGCTTTTTTCACTTGCCATTTCCCCCAGCCCTAGTCAGTCACACAGTGAGCCTTCTCCCAGTGATGAAGCAGGGTAACACCGTGAAGGAGGCTTTTGTATGCAGAAGCTTCACTTAATGCACAGGTTGGAAGGGTACAGTGAGTATAGCAGGGAGTAAGAGAGAAAAGATGGTCTTGATAAGGGCAGTTGACTGTTGGAGGACTGGATCTCTTGTCACGTAAGTCAAACAGTATTCTTCACTTGCTTATTAATTGAGCGTTCCTCATTTTGTAAATAATTGACTTGAATTCAGCAAGCCTAGTTTGCTGTACTACTGAGCACTTGCAGATGCCTTTATGTACTTTGGACGTAGCTGTATGTATAAATATATATATAGCATTTTTATCTATTCTGGAAAAAATGGCTCTCAGTATCTCAAGTTGGAGCCTCTAACAGCAGTAGTAAACACTTTGCTCCTGATGTCTGTGCTTCAGTCTTTTTCTTTGTTATGAAGACTGCGCCAACTGTTCTCTTTCAACCCATCAGTGATGTAGGAAAAAAACCCAGAGTGCTCGAGAAATGTTCAGATATAGCAGCAGAGGCATTGGAAAGTCCCTCTGGAAGTTAATACACCACTTTTCAGAGCAGGACTTAGAGAATTATTCATTCTTTAATACATGGCATTGAACAAAGGAATAAAACAAAGCATTGACTGCTTGCTTGTTTAGGAAGCATTGTTTATGTCCCATATTGAAGGAACCCTGTAGGGGGGGAGAAAGGGTGTATTTTGGTGTACTTAAAGACTGTGTCATAATCAATATGTTCAATGGGATAAAGTCATTCAGAAGCATCTCACCTTTTAACTGTCTGTTACACGGTCTTGGTACACTTTTAACATGATGAAGAGTTTGCTTTCTTTGAGGCTGTGTCTGCACAGACCAATGCTGTGAACAAGTGCTGAGCGTTCTAGCTAGTATTGTAGTTGAGCTGGTACAGCACTCTGCCTGAGCCAATATACTCTCTTTCTCAGCACAATTAATTAGTCTGAGTAGAGCAAAAATAAATTCAGAGTGTACTCAGCTCTCTCTCCATGAAATTTTCTTGTGCCATATAGGCGATGTTAAGCACTGAAGTTGTGTTGAATAATCACTTTCTTCCAACGCTGAACAAGGATCTTTATTAGAAAAGATAAACAATATTTTTTTTAAAAAAAAGCTTCAGTAAAGGTGTATAGCTTCTTGACTACATTCCCCCTGTTTCTGACTTCTACTTCCCCCTGACTTCTCAAGACATTTAAATAAACAGCACAGATCATCTCATATCAGTGTTTCATTGCACAAAGTAAATTCATGGCCTAAAATAAATCACATAAGCTCTCTCTATCCTAAATATTTCTATAGCCAAAGCAGAGACATAAGCTATCTACCTCATATGAACTGTATGTGATCCAATGACTCATTCGTTATAAATGAATCTGGAGATCCTGGAGACACTGAAAAAGTGCAGTATTTTTTTTTTGACTTGCTAACACAAAGTCAGTCTAAAAGTAAGAAACAGACGTTCACTGCCTTTCTTGCCTTCCCCTTGGCGCTCTTGCACTGGAGTATTCAATTTATTCAGCCTAAATAGAAAGAATGGAGAGACTTGTCTCTTTGGTATCAATTTAAAACAAATTCAGAAATGCTAGGAACAGATGCAATTCCCTGAAAGTCTGCAATAAATTAATTGAAAGTTTCTATATTTCTGGTTTTTGTCTTCTCTGTAGTTGCTTCCAAAATACGCTACCTCCAGGAATACCACAACCGGGTTCTCCACAACATTTACCCAGTGCCCTCTGGAACTGACATTGCAAATACTCTGAAATACTTTTCTCAGACATTATTGAGGTAAGTTTTAACTAATGCTCCTGAAGGGGGGGGAAAAAAAAGTTAAAGAATGTGGGGGGATTCATTGACTTTTTGCTTGGTTACAAAATTTAACGGGTCAGTGCTCAAACAAAGAGTCAGAACATAATTTAAGAAAATAATAATATGAATATCTTCAGTGGCTGTTGCCCAATATGCCCAGTTGAGCTGCTTATTGAGTGGCTGCTTCTAAAATAAACTTGGTTGATTACACATTTGCTTGGCCCTCCTAAGACTTAGCTGAGTGCACAAATATGCTGAACTTGGGAAGACAGGCGATTATGATCTGTAGTGTTTTAGAATTGTATACCTATGACCTTCTTGACAGTCCTGGTGCTTCAGGATCCTAGAGTGATGAGCCAGACAAGCAGAACTAGGTTCTGACTGTCCCCTGATTCAGCTGGCTGTCACATTCGGGTTCTGGTTCAGCTGTGGATAGCAATGAGTAGGTGCCAGGTTTGGATCCACGTCTGGATCTGGATGGCAACAACAGATCAGGATTGTTCTGATCTGGGGATTTGATTTAGTCCGGTGTTTAGTGATTATATATAGTACTACAGTATATACTAAGTAGTACTAAATATGCTGTGATTACAAAATACCTTTAATGTGGAAGATACTACCTCTCATCTTGCTATAAAGGTCATTAAGAATGACACGCAGGTTCCATTTTCCTCCACAGTGCTACCTATTGGATTCATATTTTCAAACTAGTTTTAAAATGGCTTTTGAAACTGAATTTTTTATTTTTTTGGGTGCCTAGATTTTGGCTACCACTAGTTTTCATATCCAGAAAAATGCAATTAAAGCAGCACTTCTGTGTGTAGTTCTTAATATGTACCTGAGAAGATTGTGCCCCCGATGTCAGAAGCTAAGTTGAAAATACAGCCATTTGCCTTTTTTGATGAGGAAACATTAGCAGAATACAACTAACCTATATATTTGTGCACATACTCCTGTAATACAAATAAGTTAAGAAGAAAGAATTTAAAGTTGGAAGAATGACAGTAGTTCCTTCTAACATTTATTTAAAGCCCATTAAATGTAACAAGATTCTTGAACCTGTTTATAAATTACAAATAAATTTTAATACATTTATTTTTAGTGGATAATATTTTAATATATCTTTACATTTTTAAAATAAAAATATACATTTATAAAAGATGCGTGCACAGAAATACTCATTATCAATGGAACTTCTTTTTGCTGCAAACTTTAAGAACTGCCATTTACACCTGAAAACTTCAAGAATAGAGTCATTTAACCATTGTGAAACTTATTGCACTTAGTAGTCATTTTAGAGTGATGAAGAAACTTAGGCAACTGTAGGAGTTTTTCAAGACTGATAAATGAAATTTTGTCTCATGACATTGCAGCAGTGGAAAAAAATGTTCAAAGGGTTGTTGAAAATACCTCTGAAACGTAGCTCTCTTCCCACATCAGGATTTTTAAATGGATTATTTGTACAATATACACACTTAAATGACATTTAAGGCTCTATGTAACAAAACAGCTTCTGCTTAAATGCTGTGGGCCTTAGAAAGTTAGATTTGATTCTGAACATTTTACTCCCTTGCTTCTTAGCTGTAGCCACTCAGTGCTATAACAAGATACGTTTCTTTTTGGGCAGAAGTCCATGAGGACTGTTTGGATTTCAACTCCTCTACTTAGAGAAAGCGCCCTGTTTTATCATTCCGTTGCCTTCCTCTTTCAAAGCAGGACAGCTGACATGTCCTGTGTGACAAATTCTTCACGCCCTATGAGCAGTGATGTTTCTGGGATTACTGGAAAAGCTTTATACTTAATGGCTACAAAAGCAGATCAGAAATAAGGGTAGCAGTTGCATAGTTGAGCAACTGAATTTCTCTATTTCAAGCTAAGAATGAAACTGAACCAGAACCCTGATGCTGATAACCCTGAACCTCTTGGCGCAGAAATGATATTTATGTCCGATACTCATATCCACATGGTTCACAAACAGCTTTGTCCTTTGTAATCTTGAATCTGAACAGCCTCAGAGCTGAAGAGCACCAGAAATTCGAGCCAGGACTTGGGTCTAAATTTATTAAGTGGACTGCATTCTGATACTCAGCAAAGTCAAATCCGTGTCCCAAAACCTTGTAGTTGGGAGAATTTGAACTGTGGGCCAAAGCCTGAGTGCTATGATTGAAGCATTGTGAGTTTATACACTAGCTGATACTAAGAAAGAAACTGTATAAAAAAGCAAAACAAAACATACTGTGTAGTTAGTGTGGCAGATGGAAAGAAGGAAACTCCCACCCACTTTGTGCAGATCTCTGCTAGATTTACGCTAAAACTAAACAGATTTGTCAAGAGCCTTCCTTTCTGAAGAGCATGTTCAGAAATTTCTTTGAATGTGCTGCATGCTGAATCTTCTTTCTGCCTCCTACACTGAGACTCCGTTACACAAGGTTTAACATTAGGGATGATGGAGAACAATCTTTCCAGCTACAAGCAGAGCAAGTACAATGGATTCAGGCTACTAAGAGAATACTGATCAAACAATGGCAAAAGTGCCCATTGACTTCCAGGAACTTTGGACCTGGTCTTCAGAATAGATTGCCTGTGTTCACCTTGCTATTTAAAAATAACTTTTATAAAATATTTTCCAATTCGGTTTGTACTCTCTTTGCAGCTGAATTTCTAGGGCAAACGTTTCTTGGTGAACGTATGCAGTCAAAGGAGAGTAATGGGAGAATAATAGGTAGTCTGAGAAATCCCATGTGGTGATGGGGTTTTACAGGTGTAGCTTTTACTGTTTATTATACTTTTTACCTTTCCATGTTACGGACATGTTGACTGTGTTCTTTTCAGTGGGCATACCCACTGTTTTGGATCACAGTCATATCTCATGTAATTCTGCTAGCTATAGTTGGACTGCATAAGGAATTTAATTTGCTCCTTTGCTCTGTACATAGTCTCAGCCTATCACAAGCTTAGGGGTGGCGGGGGCAGTTATGCAATGGTTGAAACAATTCAGTTCTTTATTGCTATGAACAAACATCACATAAATTCACCATACACAATGCATAGCACGTTAATTCATTTAGTTCTTCCTTAATTTTCTCTTTGGGCAAAAGCATTTCTTTACGTTACAGCATGAATTTAAGTTTCATGCCTGCTCATTTTCAGTATTTTCACTTGAGGAATGACCTAAGACTTAATAAGCATCTTCTAGAGGAGCTCATACTTTCCTGTTTTCTTAGAGAAAACTCTCTATATTTCTTGGCTCTAGGTGAAATGTTTTACATAAGGAATAGTTATAAATGCTCAGTGGCTAATCAACAGTCACGTTTGTTTTGCTGCCTTGGAGAAATGCAGTTTTCTTGCAGGCATTTCAGGAAACCTTTCCTGGAAGACAGTAATTTTGAGATAGATTCGCAGCAAAGGTGTACAAGTTTTGAAACAAGCCCTGGTAGCTCTCTTGCATGTCATGAAGCAAGCTCAGCCTGGAGTTATGATCTGCAGACACTCCAGGTTCTCAGTACTTGGTTTGCACAGTTACAGGACCAAACTGCAAAGATTATATCTTGATTTTTAGGCGACTTAGTAGCTTTTGAGTTTTGATTGTTCCCTTTATTCCCACTATAACTTCTGGTACAGGCACAAACTCAGGTCTGAAAGTTTTCTAAATTTGCATGATTGGAACTAGAATTTAGATACGGTCTAATTGCTGTTTCTGAGGAGATCAGAAGTGTGTTCTAATCAAGATGCAAGACTCTATGCTTGGATCTGTGATCTGACGGGCCATAGCTCCATGTTAACAGGAAGGGAAGACTTTATTAGTGCAAGCTCTCCATCCCTGTGTTACACGTTCCAAAGCAAGAGTTAATTAGTATCATAATATCTTTGCTGGAAATAATTGCCCTTGAAGTGGTGTGTTGCCTAGTGAAGGGATAGGTAATTGATATCTGTTAGTAGGCAGGGATAGAATACAGTTTACTACCTTCACATCTCTAAATAGGAGGTGCAAAATATGGCAAATGAAAGTCAAGCGAATTAAAAGTTAATTTGAAAAAGAGGAATCGGCACTCTCATCATTTCTTTTTAAAGTCATACTAGATTTTAGATGCTTTTCTGATATGATTTCATAAACACTTTCATGACAGTCTTATCCCTTTTCTTGCACTGGACATTGGGTAACAGAAAACAAAATAGTCTGGCAAATATTTTAAAGCACAATGAAAAAGCAAAAAACCGTACGGTTTCTTAAAATAGACAATATGTCTGTCTCTTATTGTAAGTGTGACATGTCAGGCCTGCTTGATGGTAGCGATTTGGCACAAAACTAATTGTAGAAGTGTTGTATATATGGCAAATGAATGGCACCTCCTCTTATAAGCACCTTAGCGTGAGTTTAACTTACTCATGTGAGTTGCATTGACTTGTGAGGTAAGTTATAATTGTGCCAAGATAGTTTTAAGATAGGAATCTCTGTACCATTAAAGAGGACTGAGATTTCCAGGAGTGCTCCCTCTTGACATAACTCTGATATTCAGAAGTCAATGGAAATTTTAATGCTACTCGTTTTTTTCTTATAAGCTTTAACGTTGACTCAGGAACAGAGTTAAACCAACAGCAATTGCTTTTGGAAATCTCAATCCCTGAAAGGTATAAAATGTGTTTTTAAAAAAAAAAAAAGTATTGTGTGTGGTTTAATATATTTAAAAGGTGTATTATACTTTCATAGGCACATATGAAGATTATGAGGTAACCCTGTAATTGCTAAACTATAACGCTGCTTAAGCAGCAATTTATTGCTATTTTTAAAGTAGTGTGGTGGGTTTTTTCTTTTTAGAAAACTGGAATAACATGTTTACAACATTCTTAGAATGACATAGCAAGCTGATTGACATATAGCCTCTATTTTGATTCCCACTAAATCCTTTTTATTTTTTTAAATTATCTCTTCTTTAGTTTGTAGTGAGTTTTGTTGAATAATAACGTAAGTAGCAGCAGGAA